GACCCGGCCCGTGCCCAATCCTAGTCAAAAGTGTTCAAAGAATTCTTTGGTGTCCTAAAATGAAAAATTGGGTAAACTTTGGGAAATGAATATGAGCCTAACATTTTCAGGAAGTTCAGGTATTATGTTGATTGGGCTTTGTGATCATTGTTATTCCTGTTTATGTTGATTCCAGGTTTACTTGCTGCTGGAAGTTGAGTAGGAAGGTTGAGGAACTACGTGATAAAATTTATGGTACCCTTGCTTTTAGTCTTTGTTATTATCCCCTGAACTGCAAACTTTGGGAGCTCTAAAAGTATTTAAAGTTTACTCTTTGTATAAATGTTTCCAGATTTTGTTGGAAGATATATTTAGTAGTAGGGTAGATGAGTCTTGGGTACAAGAGCTTTTGGTTTAAATTGGCAATTATGCAACTTGAGATTAATTGTCTGGTGTTTTAGTATGATTGTTTGCATATTTGCATTCTGCGCAATCTTTTGATCTTTTCTAAAGATGACAATATCCATCATTTATTCTTTCAATTTACATGTTTCAACCAAAAAAAGTAGGAAAATTGATAGCGCTATATAAGTTTAGTACTATTATTTGCATGTTGTTTATAGCTGTTAAATTCATTGTAAACCATTTAAATTTTGATATTTGTGTGAGGTTAATATTATCTCCACATAACATTATTATCCTGTTGGATTTAATCTAATAAATCTAATTGTGGGCACATATGATTAATCAATGTGTATTGCTATCTTTTAGGATAACCCACTAAAGTGATCAATCAAGTTGGGTTAATGGGTATTTAAATAAGTCATGGGGTTATATGTGCAGATACCAGGTTGTAATTGTGATTTGTTGAGGGGTCAAATTGTAAAAGTACAACATCTATAAATAAGGGGTTATGGTCCCTAATCTAGGGTTACATTTTCTAATTCTCTACACCCCATCTAGCTAGAGAAATTCGGATTTAGAGAAACCCTAAGGTTAGAAGATCCAAAACCCATCTCAAGGTTCATCCATGGATTCAGGTATAAGCTTCCGTTCTTTTGATTATTGTCAATCTTTTCGAATTAATCATGGCTATATGGTTTTAGATCTCAAGTTCTTATTAGATCCAATAAGTGGTATCAGAGCCACCATTGATTTGTTCTAAGAGATTAAGATTAAAATTAGGGTTCTTTGATCTTAATTTGTGTTTGATTCAGATCCATTTTCGGATGAACAGTAATTTTTTATTTTCGGATGAACAGTAACCGGTTTTTATTTTTGGGTGAACAGTGAACAAGTTTTATTTTTGGGTGAACAGCAAAAATTTTATTTTTCGGATGAACAGTAAAGGTTTTTATTTTTGGATGAATAGTAAAATTTCCAGGTTGTTTGGTTATTTCTTTCGATTTTTGGATTTGTAGCATTTATGAACTCTAAAGTTCATTTCTTTTGTGTTTGATTCAATTATTGAGGTTTGGATCTAAATGATTTAAGTTCAAAAATCGACAGAAAAATAATTATTTTTTTGGGATTTTTTGATTTGTCGTCAATCTCCAAAACTCTTCGTCGGAGTTGATTCAGCGGCGGCGGTTTCAGATTAAACCCTCAAGGGGTTCGTGCGCGTGAAAACGTGCGGAAATTAAGGAGGTGGTTACCTCAATTTAAGGAGGTGGTTACCTCAAATTAAGGAGGTGGTTACCTCAATTTAAGGAGGTGGTTACCTCAATTTAAGAAGGTGGTTACCTCAAATTAAGGAGGTGGTTACCTCAATTTAAGGAGGTGGTTACCTCAATTTTTTGGCGAGGCTTGAAAGCTTCAAACGAACCTTGCGTTCGTTCTCAAACGAACCCACGTTCGTTCTCAAACGAACCCACGTTCGTTCTCTAATGAAACATGCGTTCGTCAAACGCTGCGTTCGTTGACGCTGCGTTCATTCTCAAACGAACATTGCGTTCACTCGTCCATTGCGTTCAAACGAACATTGCGTTCGTTCATTCGTTGCGTTCATTCTCAGGTCGAACATCACGTTCGTTTTCAGACGAACATTGCGTTCGTGCTCAAGTCGAACATTGCGTTCATTCTCAGGTCGAACATCGTGTTCGTTTTTAGACGAACATTGCGTTCGTGCTCAAGTTGAACATTGCGTTCATTCTCAGGTCGAACATCGCGTTCATTTTTCAAACGAACCTCGCGTTCGTTCTCAAGTTGAACATCACGTTCATTTTCAGACGAACCTCGAGTTCGTGCTTAAGTGAGTCTCGTACTCAATACAGTCGAACCTCGCGTTCGAAGTCAAGCGAACTTCGTGTTCACTATGGTTAAGCTTCGGCTTCTCATATTAAATTATGGGTCCACTTTGGTATACTTAATTTTTTTTGTTTTATTTCAGCTAATGCATCTGCTGCAACAATTTCTGCTAACATCAACTCAATTCCCATGTTAAATGGGACAAACTTCAAGGTTTGGAAAGAGAACATATTAATTGTTCTTGGCTGCATGGATCTTGACTATGCATTAAGAACTGAACAACCCCAACCTCTCAATGCGGATAGCACTCCGGATGCAAAGAAGGAGCATGAGAAGTGTGAGCGTTCAAATCGCATGAGTCTTATGATCATTAAGCGCGGCATTCCGGAAGCCTTCAAGGGCATAGAATCCGAAGGGATTACTAAGGCTATAGATTTCCTTGCCGAAATTGAGAAGCGTTTTGCGAAAAACGATAAGGTAGAAACAAGCACGCTCTTAGCTCGCTTGATTTCAATGAAGTATAAGGGCAAAGGAAATATCAGGGAGTACATTATGGAAATGTTTCATATTGCTTCAAAGCTTAAGACACTTAAACTCGATCTTTGTGATGAGTTATTAATGCATCTGGTTCTGTTGTCTCTTCCTGCACAGTTTAATCAATTTAAAGTTAGTTATAACTGTTAAAAGGAGAAATGGACTCTAAATGAGCTCATTTCATACTGTGTGCAAGAAGAAGACAGGTTGAAGCAAGATAAGACAGAAAATGCTCATTTGGCCTATGCCTCTAAGGATAAGGGTAAGAAAAGGAAGAATGATAAAGAAGCTGCTAAGAGTCCAGTTCAGAAGAAACAACATAAGGATAATCAGGGTTGTTTCTTCTGTAACAAACCTGGACACGTTAAGAAGGACTGTACAAAATATCACGCCTGGCGTGATAATAAGGGTACGTTCCTTGCTTTGGTCTGTTCTGAGGTTAATTTAGCTTCAGTATTGTACAAAATATCATGCCTGGCGTGATAATAAGGGGTTGCCTGAGCTACCGAAAGCCAAGTGATGTTGAAAGGCACATCTTTGTGGGCGACGGACAATCGGTAGATATGGAAGCAATTGGGCACTTTAGGTTGCTGTTAGGAACTGATTCATATTTGGATTTAAAAGATACTTTTGTAGTACCGTCTTTTAGACGGAATTTGATTCCAGTTTCTGTATTGGACAAATCAGGTTATTCTTGTTCATTTGGAAACAGTCAATTCAGTTTATCTTTTAATCTTTTAATTCAATTATTGTAGCAACTGGTTACTTGAGTACTTGTGACAACCTATATTTGCTTGATACAATTGCTTCTTATAATGAATCATTGCATGTGGAATCACGTGGTACTAAAAGTAAATTAAATAAGAAGTATGATCTCTTATTCTTCTTTACCAAAGTCTCTCTGAGGAGAAGTACTAAAGACAGCAGCTTACATTCTGAATAGAGTACCAAGTAAAACAGTTGCTAAAACACCTTATGAGCTTTGAACTGGTCGAAAGCCCAGTTGGGGATGTCCAGCCGAGGCAAGGTCTTATCGGCCAAATAAAAAGAAATTAGACTCCAAAACAGTTAGCAGCTACTTTATTGGGTACTCTGAATGCTCTAGGGGCTATAAGTTTTATGATCCCACTATAAGAAATATTTTTGAGACAGGAACAGCAACATTCTTTGAGGATGTTGAGTTTGGGGGGAGAAATAAGGTTAGACATATTAGTTTTGAGGAGGAATTGGCTTCAGATCCAATCCATACAGTTACTTTTGACAATATTCAGGTTCCTATACCTGTTGTTGCTCAAGAAGTAAATCCGGAACCTCAAGATGATAATGTTGAACAACTCCCTGTTCCAGAAGAACAAACTCAACAACCTCAAGAACCAGTGCCATTAAGGAGATCCACGAGAGAAAGGAGAAATGCTATTCCGGATGATTATATTGTATTTCTCCAAGAACATGAGGAAAGTAGTGGAATGTTAGAAGATGATCCAATCAACTTCTCTCAGGCCATGAAAAGTTCTAACTCTCAACAGTGGATTGATGCCATGAATGAAGAGTACAAGTCTATGCAAGACAATAAGGTTTGGGAACTTGTCCCATTACCAGAAGGTGCAAAACCAATTGGTTGTAAATGGATTTTTAAAACCAAGCGGGATTCAAACGGTAATGTGGAGAGGTATAAGGCGCGTCTTGTGGCTAAAGGCTATACTCAAAAGGAAGATATTGATTATACAGAGACTCTCTCCGGTTTTATCGAAAGACTCTTTCAGAATAATCATGGCACTTGTTGCTTATTATGATCTTGAGTTAAATCAGATGGATGTTAAGACTGCATTTCTCAATGGAGACATTGATGAGATGATTTATATGGTGCAACTAGAAAACTTTGTGTCAGGAGACCCAAAGAATATGATTTGCAAATTAAGGAAATCCATCTATGGACTCAAGCAAGCTCCTCGTCAATGGTATCATAAGTTTCAACAAATAGTTATCTCGTTCGGTTTTGAGATGAACATTGTTGATGACTGTGTATATCACAAGTTCAGTGGGAGTAAGTATATTTTTCTGGTTCTGTATGTCGATGACATCTTGCTTGCCACTAATGATATAGGCATGTTGCACGAAACCAAGAGATTTCTATCAAAGAATTTTGAGATGAAAGATCTTGGGGACGCCTCTTTTATATTAGGAATCCAGATACATCGAGATCGCTCTCAGGGTATTCTTGGATTATCACAAAAGAGCTATATCGATAAGGTACTTAAAATGTTTGGCATGCAAGACTGCAGACCAGGAGATACCCATGTTGCTAAAGGAGACAAGTTCAGTCTCAATCAGTGCCCTAAAGGTAACCTTAAAATTCAGGAAATGCAGAAGATTCCTTATGCTTCGGCTGTAGGAAGTCTAATGTATGCTCAGGTATGTACGCATCCGGATATTGCGTACATTGTTAGGATGTTAGGCAGATACTTAAGCAATCCTGGTATGGATCATTGGATAGCAGTCAAAAGGGTTATGAGGTATCTTCAGAAAACAAAAGATTATATGCTCACATGTAGAAAATCAGAACAGTTGGAGGTCATTGGGTATTCGGACTTTGATTTTACTGGATGCCAAGATAGCAGAAAGTCTACATCAGGCTACATTTATATGTTAGCAGGAGGAGCTATATCATAGAAAAGTGTAAAGCAGACACTCGTAGG